GTTATTAGCTAAAGTATTAAGACCTTTTCCTTGCTTTCCCTTCTTTATTATCTACTCTTAGTTCATAGGAAATCTATGTAGTATTTTATATTATTCCATGGTGCTACCAAGGACAGCCAAGTTAGGCCACAAGGAACCCTCCCATGTCATCGATGATGGTGACTGAGAAAAGCTGCTAGGCTGAAGTGGGGTGGGGAGTTAATCTGGTGGTCAGTAAGACTGAAACAAAATCTGGCTATAATAGAGCTAAAAGAGGGACTTGGGGGACCAGTCATCTCCCTTAACCAACTAGTCACTTTTACACCTGGTGATAGCCAAAAATGTGGGGCCAGCTCACCTTGGATCCTGGCACTGTCTTGATGTATCCTTTCATAGCTAGGCCTCTGGATCCTGTTTCTGGCTGTGACCCCAAGGTTCAGTCTTCCATTTTTCTCTGTGTTTTATCACTGCCAGTTCTTTATAGAGTTCTTCCCTCTATAATTTTTATTATTCTTTTTCCAGGGTGGAAGCCCAACTCCATTTGACAGGAATTTTGCCACTAAGATGGGCGCCAAGGCTATGAACTGGATGTCAGGGAAAATCAAAGAGAGTTACCGTAATGGTAAGTGGGGTGTGAGGGTAAACCCCCTCTCCAGAGGCTGGTTCCCCACTGTAGAAGCTGATTGCCTACCCCTTATTACAGGGCGGATCTTTGCCAACACACCAGACTCAGGCTGTGTTTTGGGAATGCGTAAGAGGGCCCTGGTCTTTCAACCGGTGACTGAGCTGAAGGACCAGACGGATTTTGAGTGAGTACATCTCCTCTCTGGTAGTTTCGATATTCTTGTCACTGCTCTTCAGTACTGTATTTTAGGAGTAACACCTGTAGTCTTCACATCTGATACCTGTGCCCTAAATCCAGCATCTTCTGCCCAGCTTCTTGCTAAAGACTGTATCTTACTTCATTCTTCTGTAGGCACCGAATCCCCAAGGAACAGTGGTGGCTGAAGCTGAGGCCCATTCTCAAAATCCTAGCCAAGTACGAGATCGACCTGGACACCTCTGACCATGCTCACCTGGAACACATCACTCGGAAGCGGTCTGGGGAAGCGGCTGTCTAAACCTCATTGGAGTGTTTGGAGTGAGGGGGACAGAAGATCTGGTCACAGTCACCTTACCCCGATAGCTCTGGTCCATGTTTTCTCAGTGTTTTAGCTCTTTCTTCATTAGGTTTCCTTTATTCTGTATCTGTGCCACGGCCAGCTCTGGCCAGGAGCTGAGGGAGGGGGCAGTGTCAGAAGCTCCTTTTAGGTAGAGTTTATCAAGACGTCTATCTTCTGTCCCAGCTTCACCTGTCACACAAGGCTGGGCTCCTCTAGTGCTACTGCTAGATTTCAGTTACTCAGAGTTTTCCTAAAAATAAGCTTTATTTATTTTTTTGTGATAACAAGGAGTCTTGGTTCCTCTACTACTTTTATGCAGTGACAAACTATAACTACACTAATAAATGCCAACTGGTCACTGTGCTTTTGGTTCTCCGGTTATCATCTTCACAAGTGGAGTGCAATACCATCAGCCCCCGGCACCAGACCTGCCCAGACAGAACACCTGGAAAAACACACCCCATGGGACCTTCTGGGCACTTCTGCCTCTTAGACGATTTGTCTGTAGCACCTCTGGGTTCTGGTCCCAGGACATGGTACACTGACCTTCATCCTCATTCTGCACCAGTTCCTCTTGCATCTTCCCAGCCAATAGCATGCTCCCATGTTCCTTAAGCATAAAGTTGTGCTTTACCTGGACATCGCATACCCATTACCTAGGGTTGACTTTTTCTGTCACCCCTCAGTCTGCTTCTCTAAGAACCTCCTTCTCAGCTTTTCTCTTGTACTCCTTCTCAGATGAAAGGCAGACTTTGTTTGACAGAACCTTTGTGGGGAAGGCATGTACATTTTGAAAGCCTGGAAAATAGAGACACCTAGTCCTGGACCTGGTTTAGGGGGCTGGTTGGACTACTGCTTTGGAAAGGTGTCATTCTTATTCAGCTACAGTTTGTCTTGTTCCATTGCAGCTGCTGCTTCCCTCCCACTGCCCAAACGCCCCTGTAATGCAGTTGGTCCTTGGAATTGGGACCAGACATTCTACCCCAAATTGACAGGATGGTGCCCTGTTTTAATGCCAGGTTTATTATTACCTTCCGAAGACCAGATCCTGCCTCTCAGCACAGGTGCATGTTCCTCCCACCCCTCACAATTTGCTCACTGTGATGAGGCAGGAAAGGCATTCTGGTATTGGACGGGTAGAGGGAGGTATTATCTTGTCTCCAGGACATCACTCTTGCTGGCAGTCCAAACTATTCCTGCTATACCCTAAAAACAGTTCTAAACAGTGAGAATGCTTGTTATCAGAGTCAGAAACTAAAGTTTTTAAAATGCTCTTTGCACAGCTTCCTAGTGGAGAGAAAATAACAGTAAATGTCAAGCACTTTGTTAGGCATTCTACATGTTATCACTGAATCCTTAGGAGGAGGGTTACTGATAGCCCCGCTTCAGAGATAAGGGCACTGAGCCTCAGGGTGATTAAACCCCTTTCTCTTACTATTATTCAGGTAGAACTCAAACTCAGTTCTGACTTCAAAGCCCATCTTTTATGCCCTGTGTTTTCTTCCTTACCATACTACAGCTAATCCAGAAAAATCACAAGGGCTGTGAAAATGAAGTTAAAGTGAAAGTTCAAGCATTCAGTGAAAACATTTTAAATGCTCACTACTATAATTTATAGGTTTGCTTTCATGTCTTAGAGCTGTTTCTTAAGAGAAAATAATGAGGGACCAGCAAATGGCATAATGGATATGTCACTGGACTCCCATATGGCCAACCGTGGTTCAAATCCTGGACCCAATGGCTTGAAATTCACACCCGGCATGTGTGTGTCTGTGCGTGCGTGCCCAAGATCCTGGAAGGAGAATGGAGGAAAAAGGACTGTGGTGTGGCCATCCCCCCTGGGGGGTGATTTCTCGCTTTCTGTCTCTCTCTCTCTCCAGCAAGGACATGTACTCTATAGCGAAAACCTCTCTCTAAAAGAAAGGAAAGAGAGAGAAAATGATGAGGGAAGGGATGGCTGGGTAGAAAGCTAATCACAGAGGGAAAATATTACTTTGTAAACAGTAAAAAATTTGAGATCATAATAGTATCTGGAAAAAACCATAGCAAAGACCATTAAAAACAAAATACAGGGACCAGCAGATGGTGTAATGGCTACGTTGCTGGATTCCCATGTGGTTGACCGGGGTTTGAGTCCTGGACCCGGTGGCTTAAACTCACGCCAGGCATATGTGCGTGTGTGCCCAAGATCCCAAGAGGAGAATGGAGGAGAAAGGACTGCAGCATGGCCATACCTCCGGGGGGGTGACTTCTTGCTTTCTGTCTCTCTCTTTCTTGTGAGCGCGCACTCCCTATAGCAAAAACCTCTCCAAAAAACCCCTCAAAAAACAAAAAAAATCAAAACAAAAAACAAAAAACAATGGACCAGCAGGTGACAACTCGGTTAAGGACGCTGAACTCCCACATGGCCAATTGTGGTTCGAGTCCTAGACCTGGTGGCATGCTTTCTCACTTTCCCTCTTTCTCTTTCTCTCTGTCCCTCTCTGGTCAAAATTTAAATTAATAAAGTTAAGTAAAAAATAATTTTAAAAAAAGGAAAAACAATAATAAACAAAACCTGTGAAGGTGCATGCCATTTCCCAAGAGCTGATTAATAAAATTGTGTTTAAACTCTAAGTGGAGGTAAGCAGAATTTATTAGCTACCTATTGCATGAGTGATTATGAAATAACTGAGAAGACAGGTAACATCTTTTTCCACATAGACAAAATATTTTCTTTCCAGAATATTAATAGTGTCTACAATGAAAAATGAAATAGCATCTAAAGCAGCGTCCATAAACCTAGTCTGAATATTAGAACCACTTAGGTGCCTTTAAAAATATAGCTGCCTAGGACCAGCAGATGGCATAATGGTTACATCACTGGATCCCACAGGGTCAACTGTGGTTTGAGTCCTGGACCCAGTTGCTTGAAACATACCAGGCATGTATATGTGCATGCCCAAAATCCCAAGAAGAGAATGGAGGAAAAGGGATTACACCCCTGGGGGAGGTAATTTCTCACTTTCTGTCTCTCTGTCTCTTTGGTGAGCACACACACCCTATAGCAAAAATCTCTCTTAAAAATAATAGATGTCCTGGCCTTTGTACCAATCAAATCAATTTCTGGGGGTGGAGCCTGGGCCTTAGTTTTTAAAAAATTTCCATAAGTAGTTCTAGTTAATTGCTAGGCTTGAGAACAATGGATTAAAGCAGTGGCTCTCAGTCTTTGTTACACATGAGAAGCATCTGGAGAAATTTTAAAAAACCCACTCTCGCCCCCACCAGCCCTACACCAGGGAATTCTGAACAACTGGTAAGGAGTGTGTATTAGTAGGGTTCTCCAGAGAGTCAGAACCAATAGGATATACACATAGATATATGAGAGGGGATGCATTAGGAGAATGAGCTCATGTGATTATAGCAGCCAAGTCCCACAACAGGCTGTTTGCAACTGGAAACGTTGGCTGGGATGCCTGTAGTGTGGCTCAGGCCAGGTCCCAAGACCTCAGAACCAGGGATGCCAGGGTGCCATGGCGGGGGGCAGGGGCATGGAGAAGTGCTGGCGTGAGTCCTGGAGTGCAAAGGCAGGAGAGCCTTGAGCTTGGAAGGCCAAGGCAGCAGCAGCAGCCTTTCCCCACTTGAGAAGAGACCAACCGACCTTCTGTTCGCTCTCTCCAGGCTCACGGGCTGATGTAAGGGATGACTGCCCACACCCAGGGTGCATCTTCCCCACCTAGCCACTCAGACTATGCATCAGTCGCCTCTGGAAACACCCGCACAGACACACCCATGTAATGCTGTACTCAGTTTCTAGGTATTCCTTAATCCAAATCAACACCTAAAATTAACCATTACAAGGTAAAATCTTGGCATCAGTGTCTTTAAAAAGCTCTCGGTGATTTAATGTGCAGCTGGGGTTGAGAATACAGAGGCAGTGGTTCCAAATTTGGGGTGGGGGGGAATATAAAGGAAGGGGAAGTTTTCCAAATACTCAGCCCAGGCCCTCCTGTTCACTCCACCAATGCCCAGAATCACTGTTGCTGTCAGGAGAGAGGCTGGTAGAACGCCTGAAGAGCCAGGCCACAAAGGGAGAATTTCTAAATGAGGAGAGGTGGGGGCTGGGTAGGGAAGATAGAAATGGCCAAATTTGCTTTTAGAACTATTTATTTCTCTCTCTCTCTCTCTTTTTTTTTTTTACTGGGCAAAAAACAATAACAGCAAAAGGACAAAAGCAGACATACTTTTTCAAATTAGCTATGTCAGCAGATCCCATTCATTTTGTTTGCAGTTCCCAATTAGCTTTAAAAAGAAAGGTGTTTCAACATACAGGTCATCCAGGCTCACTAACGACTTGAACTGGTTTAGGTACATGAAAAGGAAGAACCTTGCTAAGTACTGTTCACTAGAACACCCTTTTTCAGATAGTAGGCTATCTCAAAAGAAGCTCTTACATGCTCTTTCCCCACTCCCTTCCCAACCCCCCACCTATGTCTTTTAAGTCAATTAAATGCAAAGTTTCCAAAACAAGTGAAAGAAAAATAACTCCAAATTCTCAGCAGAGTGCACTTTCCATAGGGAAATGAATTCTAGAGGGAATGAAGACCCATGAGGAAAGGCAGCCCAGCCCATAATTCCTCTTTTGCTGTAACACCTTACTCTAAGGTGGAGGAAATGCCTGCTAAGCCCATTAGTGCAAACTGGTTTATGGCAAAAGAATGCACTGCATTAGAAGAAAAGTTCTTAGGATTATCAGGAGTCCTTGGGACTACTTAGAACCTGCCACCTCTTCTGAGGAAAGCAACAAGATAATCTTTCTGAAATAACATTGCCTGACCACTGTAAACCTTTGGGCACCCCAAGAAAAGACGCAAAGATTGCTGGTTTCTTGGATGAGGAGAAAGGGGGCCAGTCTCTTCTGAATACCCCATGACATGGCACTCTAGGGATATCATCCAGCCTAATTCTGCATCTGCACCCCACTGGAACTGGTAGCATCTTCATCATTAGGATGCAACTGTTGCTAGCTGGAATGGCGATTTTTTAAAAAAAGTTCTTCGCAGATCATTTAAAATGCTTTCTAGAAGGGATTCTTCTGGATGATAATCATGTCCCCAATGGAAAAACACACACACATTCTTTAAACACTTTCCGTCTTCCTAGGGAAATTTAGGTGCGCTGTTGACTCATTCCCTAAAGGGAAGGATTGGGGAGACTTCTTCTTTTGCAGGGTACAATATAAAAAGTCAAGGAAGCAATAAACAGAAAAGAGAAGTGAAGGATTTTTTTGTTTGGTTGCTCAGTCTGGGTAGGGGAGGTGGTATGCAGGTCACTGTTGTGACATGTTGTCTCAAAATCTATAAATCACACAACAGGAACAACTGCTTTTCTGTTTCCCACGACAAAGCGATGGTACTGCAGGAAATTCCTCACCCAGAGTTGTCTGCACGACGGTGCAAAAGTCTCTGCCAGGCTATTCTATGAGCAACAGGTATTCTTTCAAAGAAGCTGGCAGTGGAAGGCCCTTCACTGCATCTGGCAGATACTGGAGTCCCAGGCTACGGCGCACAGCATAGCGAGAGAGTGTTTTTAAAGTTCCTGGAACTGAGCACAGAACAGTCAGTTTTTCACATAGCTGCTGGTCTCTGGCCACCTCCCGTGGCATGGTGCCATTTTTCCTCAATTCAAAGTGTCCAACAGCTCTGTGGAGGAGCTCAAAGCAAGAGTCCTCTTTCTCTGTTCCAAGTCCCCTGACTAGCAGAGCCACCAGGCGGGAGATGGGAGTCTGGCCTTTCAGGTTGATGACTCTCACCTCTGCACCATAATCAAGAAGGATGCTGACACTCTCGAGATTCCCCTTCATGGCAGCCCAGCTGAGCGGGGTATCATTGTTGTAATCCAGGGCATTGACGGAGGCCCCACTCTCTAGGAGAGCCCGCACACACTCTGCATTGTTCTTAAAGGCTGCCCAGTGAAGTGGGGTGTCTCTGTTGCCATCCAGTGCATTGGGATTTGCACCGTACTCCAAGAGGACCTCCACACAAGCCTCATCTTTCTCTGCTGCATAATGGAGGGCTGTTCGGTTGTAACCATCCAGGGCATTCACCTGTAAGAAGGGAGGAACTCTAGTATAGCAGACAGACTAGAGGAAGGAGGAGAGGAGGGCCGCAAAGAAGCATGCACGTATTTACCCCCACTTTTGTTCCATAATGGGTAGTCTGAACTAGAGGGTCAATAAACAATTTCTAAGGAGTTTTAGTGATAAAGATGACAGGAGCTTAGGAGCAAGTATGAAAAGAATTGTCCCAAATAGTCAACAGTTTATTGTATGCCCTGACTAGCTGGCCTGCATTAGCTAGGTTTCTGTGGCAACATTCACTTTTCTATTTATTAGAATCTTTACCTAGAGTAAGGGGAAAAGCAGGAAAAGATGAAGTCTTTACAACTGCTCTAAAGAGATTTATTGGAGAGCCACTTGAACATTCAGCTAGAGTAAGAGTTTTAGATGATTTTGCTTCTCCTGACTCTGTATCCTGTGACTAATGACAACCAGACCAAAAAATAATGAGGTCAAAGCTTTGTCCATTTAGCCTTGCTGTGTTCATTACACATATGGGGAAGCTCAGAATGTCCATCTGAGTCAGCCCTTTGCAAAAATATGCTGTGGATTCACAAGAGAACCCAAAGGAAAGCAAGTGGAGGGAAAAGCAAACATTTTCCAACGCTGAAAAAAGCAACTGACTTACTAAAAGTCAGCATCATCTATAAATCTTACTTTGAATTCCCAAATTTCTAAACAGTGTATTATCTTCTCCCATAAGATGTAATAAGAAAACTGAAAAAATTAAGTGACTTCAACCTCTTATTTTACTAAAATCCATTTTTTTTTTTGTCCTGGGCATTTTCATTTTTTATTATTGACATTAATCACTGACTTTCACTTCAGAGTCACTCATAGAAAACACATTTAATCATAAAAGTTATGGTATAGAAAATGACAAGTTTAGAACAACATGCTATGTGGAGATGAGGATGGTGGGGTTGCCCAATTAGGCTCACTGGCCAGCATGTCGAGGGGTGCACTCCAGCTTCACAGCTTGTCTGATTCGAATTAGTGTCTCACTACATGTGTGTTCAAGACTGCTCACAAATGGTGAAAACTTCTAGCTTATTTACCAGGCAGCTGGTGAGTACTACATATGTGCTTCAAACCCTTCACAACCACATGAACAAGATACCATTTTATTATCCCACTTCACAGGTGGGAAGACTAAGGCAAGTTTTATTATTTTTTTTAAAGTATCTTCAAGGTCACATAGCTGGGAGTGTCTGAGCTAGAATTCAAATCTGTGCAATCTGGCTCTAGAGTCTATTCTTTTAATTATTCATTCTATCATGCTGCTTCAGTCCAATGCTAAGGGTATATATATATTTTTTTTTCTTTTAATATTTTGCCAGAGGGTACATGCATTTGCCAGCGAGAGAGAGAGAGAGAGGGGAGAGAAAAGGGAGAAAGCGCCCCCATGGCGAATGGTCATGCAGCAATCCCTTCTCTTCCATCTCTTCTTCCTTTTGGGATTTTAGGTATGCATGCACATGTGCTCAGTGTATTCTCAAACCACAGAGTTCAGGACTCAAACTGTGGGGTAGCCATGTGGGGTCCAGCTGTCTTAACTACCAAGCCATGGAGCCAGTCTACTTCCAAAAGTTACTCTTTGTTTTTCATAAGATACATTAGAATGAAGGAAGAAACAAAATATATTAAAGCATAATCTGATAGTTGGTTTAGATGGTTTAGATTTAATCAGAGTTGAGGAGCCTCTGTACTTATAACTCCTGGACATGCAATAGGCAACAAGAGGATTAAATGGATCTATGAACAACCCCTAGATGGTAAGTTGGGAGTGAAGAGAGAGGCAAAGCTTCTTCCTGGACCCATGGGCTGCTTAAATTGAAGAGGAGATAAAAAGGCAAAGAAATGAAAGTTAAAATCAGTTAGAAGTCAGAATGCAGGGGGGAAGAGATGGAGAAGAGATAAGGGAAAATTCTATGAAATGTAAAGCTCAAGACTTAGTGACTCATGGCTCCTGTCACTGAGCTGCTGCTGAGAACACAGCAGCCTCCCTGCCTCAAGCTCCCTCGCTTCCAGATGGTCTGTTCCCCGCTGCCTGCCTTTTCCTGCCACTGCCTTCCAAAGGCTGTTGCCACCGAAGAAATGGAATTGTATTGTACGTCCACTATCCAGAACCCTCACTGGCACTGAGGATTATATCCATGTAAGAATTCAACAGAGAAACAGCAGGAAGACACTTATTACTGTCCAAGGGATCACTGATGATTACAATAAACAAAACAAAACAAAACAAAACAGAACAAAAAACCAAAAACAAAAACAAAAAACTAGTGAAGGTGTTTAAGAACAAATTTGCCTGCAATGGTGCTGTAACTGAGCATCCAGAATATGGAGGAGCAATTCAGCTCCAGGGTGACCAATGCGAGAACAGGTGCCAGTTCCTCGTAGAGACTGGACTGGCTAAGGGCCATCAGCTGAAGGCTCGTGGGTTTTAAGTGCTTATGGCGCATTGAAGCTGAAGTGAATTTCCTTGCAATGAGTAAAACTTCCCTACTGTTCCTTGTCACAAGTTTAAAACCTCACAGCTTGTAAAATATAACCATTTGCAGTACGCTTTTAACTTGGACTAGTGTAACTCCTTCATGCAATAAATGGAAAAGAGTCATCAAAAAAAAAAAATGCTCAGTGACTCATTAATGTGAAAGTGTCCAAAATGTTACCTCGGCTCCTTTTTCCAGGAGTAACTCCACGCAGTCAGCATCTGACACCATGCAGGCACAGTGCAGGGGCTTCAGCGTGCCATGGGTACAGTTCACGTCTGCTCCCTATGGGCAGAAGGAAACCTCAGTCAGAAAATTTGGCTCTGGCTTGCCCAGCGCGATGAGATTCAGAATTGAGTCCCAAGGGAAGAGTTATAAGCCTGAGGAGATTGTAAACACACCACTGACTCCCAGTTTCCATTTCTGTTAGTTAACTGCATATTACAACGTTAATATCCAAACTAAGGGAACAATGAAGATGAAGAAAAGGAACTGTCAATTCCTTAGATCACACTATCAAATTTCTCTATAAGGCAGCCTGCCAGATGGTCACCTGGACCTCACTGAGGGCATAACCTCACTTGTAGAAGAAGTGGGAGCCTTATCAGGAAAGCTGGGCCAGTGATTCATTTTCTCTCTCTTTTTTTTGTTTCAGCGCACAGCGATTCATTTTCTATGGCCACTACGCCCTGAAAGTCAAGAGTGACTCCATCAGACTGGCCAGAACTGGAATGCTCTTTTTTTCCATTCAACAAATGACCATCACCACCAGTGGGATCATCTTAATGTTATTTTTGTTTGTTTGCTTATAAACATCTTCAAAGTAGCCTCTTAGTATCAGCAGTTCCTGTCCCTAGCCCCTGCTGGTGCTTCTATTCAAAATCTGATAAAGGAAATGGAGATGCCAGTCAGACCAAAGTCACTGGATGACTCAGCATAGAGCTAGAATTAGAACGTGACAGTTTCTGCTGCTGAGTCTTCTCATACCACTTTTGCTAAGAACAAGCTAACTCTGTATGACTTTTCCTTCTCCAGTTGTGCCACATTAGCTCCGAAGCACATACATAGCTCTAGGCTGTAAATGAGGATCCTAAACTGGTTAAAAATAAGAATGTCTAGAAATATTCTTATATAGGACGCATTTTCTAATGATCAAAAAATTATTCTGTAACTCCTCTTCAACAGGAACAATACACAGACTAGGGTATCAAAGACCTTCTAGGATACAAGTCACATAACAGAATTACTGAAGAGCAACCGTTAAATTATATAGTTAAGCTAGTTTCTGAATCTATGCATTTTCTTTCTTTTTTTTTTTTGGAGAGGTTTTCACTATAGGGCGCGTGCGCTCGCCAGACAGACAGAGAGAGACATAGAGACAGAAAGCGAGAAATCACTCCCCAGGGGGGATGGTCATGCGGCAATCCCTTCTCCTCCATTCTCCTTTCGGGATCTTGGGCACTCATGCACGCACTCCCAGCGTGAGTTTTAAGCCACCGGATCCGGGACGCGAACCATGGTCGACTACATGAGAGTCCAGTGACATAGCCATTACGCTAACTGCTGGTTCCAATCTATGCATTTTCTCAGGTTATACATTTTATAACTATTATATAGTTAAGGTAGTTTCTGAACTCTGGGGAATTGATATTCTCTGCAGAACTAGAAGTGGTAGCTGTTGTTAAGACACAGGGCAAGTGAAATCTCTCTGTATAATTACTATAACCTGTAACTATAGAGAGAAAAGCTCACAAGGACTTAAAAACTACCTCTGCTTTGCTCACCTCCTTTCTCCCTTAGTAAAACATGTATAGAAGTCTTTGAGCTTGATGGATCCCATATGTACCATATCTGATTGAGATTTTACAAAGAACATGAGATTAGGGTTATCGGGAACATACAAGGTGGTCTTCAAAAAGTTCATGGAAAAAGAATCCTTGGGCCTGCATTTCAAAATATTTTTGCACCAAAGTAAACTCATACTTTACAAAATAATTATTATTTTATTAATTTACTTACATATTTAAATTTGACCAGAGAGGGAAGGGGGGGTGGGGAGAGGGAGAAAGCAAGCTGCCAAGTCTGGGACTTGAACCAAGGTTGGCTATGTGGGAGTCCAGCACCCTCAACCATCATGCCACCTGCTGGCCCCAATAAACTCATACTTTAATTCCACTTTTCCACCAACTCTTTGAAGTCCCTTTGTAGTTCATGAAAAAAATATCAGACAAACTGAAAGAGAAAAGGGAAGATAAGCTATACACACACACACACATATATATATATATATACACATATATATATATATATACACACACATATATATATAATATTTTAATGATCAAGCTAATACATTTAGAAAGACTGTAAAGACTCCTTGTGATCTTGTGCTGAGTCAAAGCTGCAAACCTGCAATCAACTGGGATTCACCAGGAATTCTCCCATTTCACCTCCCAAGAGACTCTCACGCCAATAACAGCACACTTACCCCTCTAATGAGGTCTTCTACGTTATCATGTGGGAAGGAACGGATGGCAGCGATTGTTCGGATTAAGCGCTCTGAGAGAGAGTATTTGCTCTGAATGCTCTGCATAATATACCACATACTGGAACTCATCAAGGCTCACAGTGTGTTCACATGCTCCACACTGCCTGAAACAAAGAAGTTTTAGGCATATATGATATCACCGAGCACACCTGTCATTAGGGTCAAGCATTCTCTGAGGCCTTCCTGATACTAAGAGCAGATTTTAAGACTGGTGATAAATTAATACCACTTTTCTTAATCATAAGGAACTAGATTATGATAGTGGCATAGGGAGCTGAGTAAACCTGGATGCAAATCTTTGAACCTCAGCTCCTCTGTTCTGCCTCTGTCCTAATGTAGCATGAGATTTCCCTAAGAGGTACTAAGATTCCCATGGAGTTCTGGGTAGTTAAGAAAAGACTCAGCAAGGAATGGGATATTTTTAAAGACTGAACATGCCACAAAACATTCTTCTCCTGCTCTGAGTTTTTGTGATCTTTATTATCAGTACCACCTTTTGGTTATTTATTAAAGTTTGGTTATTTATTAAAATTTCTTATAGTATAGTTTTATATATATATACATATATACATATATATACATATATATATATATATAAAACTATACTATACGACAAACTTTAATAAATAACCAAACTATATATATATGTATATACACACATATATATCATTTCTTTATTTTTTAAAAAAATATTTAATCTGTTTATTATTGTTATTTTTAAATTTGCTATAGGGTGTGTGTGCTCACCAGAGAGAGAGACTGAAAAAGCAAGCTGCCACGTTCGGGGCTCAAACCAGTCAGTCAGTCATGTGGGAGTCCAGCACCTTAACCACCATGCCACCTATTGAGCCCTGCTTCTCCATTTAAGTCATTATCAACTGGAAGACAAGGGCCTTGTCTTATGCTTTTTTGCATATGTAAGGCCAGCCACAGAATCTCACAAAAGTAGGTATTTAATAAATTTTTGTTGGGTGACTGACTGAAAGGTATGAAAGTGATTGTTACCTGTAGAAGAGAGGGAAAAGGCTATAGAATAAATACATCTATCTTAATAATAGTAAGACATCTGTGAAAAATTCTCAAATGTCTTCAACAGAGAAAAAAATAGGAAATACATATATTTTTTTGAGATATTTTTGCTATAGGGCACGTGTGCTCACCAGACAGACAGAGAGACAGAGAGACAGAAAGCGAGAAATCACCCCCCGGGGGGATGATCACGCCGCAATCGCTTCTCCTCCATTCTCCTCTAGGGATCTTGGGCATGCACACACACACGCCTGGCGTGAGTTTTAAGCCACCGGGTCCAGGACGCGAACCGCGGTTGACTACATGGGAGTCCAGCGACATAGCCATTACACTAACTGCTGGTCCCAAAAAATAGGAAATATTTGAGGTAATATTTTAAAACAAGGAAGCAGAGCAAAAATATAACTACTCTGGAGTCACATAAAATTAGGGAAAAAAAATCAAAGTTCATACTAATGATAAATGCTTTCAGTTTAGAAAAATAAGCATATTTTAAATGAATTAAAACTTCTAATAATTGGTTTACAATGTCAACAAGAAATAGATTTGGAGAAATTTGTGTTGAATCTACTGTGACAAAGTTCTAAGTTGAAAGTAGAAAATAATGCAATATTCAACAACAATAAAAGTTTCGGCTGCATAAAAGGTACTAGCTAGGGAACATATAAACTTACAGCCAAGAAGATAATTTCTATAAAAAAGTATATATCAAACCTGTAGGGA